ATATATATGTTATATATGTATGGGTTTGTAACAATTTAAACGCATATAATTAGATTCGACCGAGAGCCGCGGGGGAATTCCTCGAAGCTGGTAATTCTTTTTATATATATATATATATATGTATGGGTTTGTAACAATTTAAACGCATATAATTAGATTCGACCGAGAGCCGCGGGGGAATTCCTCGAAGCTGATCGACGATGTAATTCTTTCCCACCTGTGTATCTCAGAGGATCGATAATCCACCATTATTTTTTGTCCCTTTTTTCTTAGTCAGCATTATACATATACATACTTGTAATAATCTTTGATCATATTAATGCTTTAACTGTCACGCATGATATACGTTGATTAATGTATTATTCTTGCGTTACTTTACTAATTATATATTAACGATGATTGATTTTACTTATACATTTTTCGAAAGTATTTCCATAATTTATACAGGTATGCTTTATTTCTAATTAATGATCGTTATTATGTGTTGCAATTAATATGGGCCATAAACTAATTTGCAAATATTTTATATAATTATAAATATGACAATAATAGTTTATATGAAAAGCAGAATATATATGCCAAGTCAAGACATGTCTATAGTATTAATATCAAAAAAATAATTATTCATTGAAACGTAATTTCTCTCTCTCTCTCTCTCTCTCTCTCTCTCTCTCTCTTTTTTAATGAATTAATTAAACTATATTAGGGAAATGTATGGTATCCTATTTATAATTAAAACTCTCATTATTCCTCATATATTGAAATTTTTTTACATTTTACTTTTTCTATATTTTTTTTCAATTTGTTTCTTTATTATTCTTCCATCCTAATTTTAATGACTACTCGAAATATCATTAACATAATTAGCACTGAAACAAATGTTTTTTCTTATCTATATGTATTTATAATCCGTAATCCAAGAATAAAGATCAAATTTCTTTATTGAAAAATTATTTATTAATAAATAAAACTTTCAATATATGTATAAATTATGGGACATTTTATTATTTATTTTTATTCTGAAATTAATAAATATTTTAGAAATTTTCTTTTCTCTTCGACAAATCTCTTCGACAGATAATAAATTCTCGATAAACGAATTGGATTATACTGTAATAATCGTTTTGTATTTGCTTTTTGTAATTCTTTCAGATGATTTCAAAAGAATGAGAAACAATAGACCTTGATACTTTTCTACGATAAAAAGAAAAATAGAAAGAATACTCGATCAGTGTAAGACGTCAAGGTTTCCTTCCGGAATTGGAGATTTAACAATCGCTTGGCGTAACACACAGTAAACTCTCTCCAAAGAGACAATACATAAATTCCAGCCAATCGAACATAGTATAATACTCGATTTTCTATGTTGTTTTTGCCCACTTTGCAAGGAAATAAATCGACGTAATGCAGTAATGTAATGAGAAGTAACAAAGTGAATTTACGTGTTGTTTATGTATATTCGAATGAGATATGCTTTATTACTCTACATAGCAATTTATTAGTCCAATACCATACATTCTATGCGGAAATGAAGTTTGCGTAAAACAATAAAATTCCGATCTCTGATTTCGCCAGTTGCTTTATTTGTTAATCGCTGATAATTCAAATCATTTCAATTAGGGAGAGAAATCAAATTCTGAAAAATTTAGCGAGTTAAAATCGACAGTTTCAAAATGAGAGCAACCTGTATACTGAATCTAACGACAAAATCATCACGTTGACATAACGATCTCTCTGCACTTTGACTCATAATCAGACCAGCTATATATCCGGTTCGTATATCGCGTTTTCAATGTATGCTTGCAACGCGGACAAAATGGTGCCATTGCATAAAGCATAACGAGCGGCGGGAAGAGAAAACGCTCGCAAGTGTGGGGACCATAATTTGGTTGGTACGCGCTTCCATGGTACCGTCTCGGCAAGTTGTTAACCAGGTTCATCAGACATGTTGATGAGACATGCACAATTTAGCGGGTTGACTTTTTACGTTACTGCCTACATTTTCGCGCTCTGCCTACGTTGCGCTCGAATACACGCTACAATTTGCTTGTTACTTTGTGTGCGTTCATAACGTGTACTGCGTTCTCTGTCGCTGCAAAATACGATACACTTTTTTAAATTGGCCGCATAATGACGGACGAGTATGACGCGGCTGAATTCTGACGAGATTTTTGCGATGAGAGTATAATCGACGGCGCGGTATTTATGTCAGGTACTAAAGATAGGCATTCAACGAAGATGATAATAATGAGGGATTGCAGGATGTAAGTTTTACAATCTTGTTCTTGTTTAAGAGACTAAAGAAATATTCAAGTATAATAATGTAATTTAATTTTTGAAAATATTCTGATAATCTTAATAACAAAAATGAAACACTTAAATAAATCCATTCGGGATTTTTTCAACTTGACTTCTGCACAAAATTCGACAAGATATTTTGATTTTTGTTATCGCGTTCATAATTCTTATGACAAAATGCAATCGTATTCTTTTCTCTAAAACAGATTTTAGGGAATTTTTTAAATAGTTTTATCATAAAGTGATTAGATATTTATGCATAAATATAGAAATTAGTTCATAACTAAACATTTAAAAAATGAATTGATCTACAAAAAATATTGACTAAATCTACAATAATTCTTAAAAATACAGACATGTATGTTTGTGTGTACTTTCCTAGTCATGCTTGAAACATATGTCTTTTTTTTTCCCCCGCATAATCAATAATATATGGAAGGAAAAACTATCTGCCGAAATGACAAGTAACGGCGTGCACGATGAACGATACACATTCGTAGAGTCATGATCACCTGACCATGCTTGTATATCAGCGTACTCCGTGGCGCGCATCCCGGCTTACCACAAATCCACAAATTGCCAGCGTTAACTTTAATTAATGCACACTTCCCCCTATTTCCTACCATCGATTACGTCTATATCTGCCGCAATTCAGACTCAACTGCGTTGCATTTCTATCCCTCTTTCTCTTTCTATCTCTCTCTGTCTCTGTCTCTCTCTCTCTCTCTTTGTTCTGCATTGTTCGCAGACAGAGAGAATGGCAAACTAGGAGTTTAATTGAAAACCTCATATTTTATTAAAATATTTTTTTATCTATTTGTATATCGGATATTGTAAATATCGAATGGCTTTTGAGCCATCGACTTTTATCGTACAATCTCTCTATGTGATTAATGGAAATTTTTTCTCTCCCTCTTTCATAAAAATTGCTACGTACAATTGATCAAGGTGCAGAGAGAAAGAAAACGTTAAAAAAATTAAAATTAAATAAAAAAGAAACGCACGATATCTTTGGCGTGCTCGGAACGTATGAAGTATGATTCTCCACGTTATAACGAGCTCTCGGTACCCCGGTGTCGTTTTACATCGCTGCCCATCTATACAAACGCATTATTATTCTCTTATTATATATCATACAACTCACCGGCGGAGTTTGCAACTTTAATTTAACCCGTTACTAAAAGCGCATACTCGTCGCTGGTGAACGTCACGGTGTTACACGGGCGGTGCATCCGACGTCGGATTAATTCGAAACGAAGAAGCAGTCGTTTCTGGTTTAGTTGCCGAGTTAGAAAATTGCTCGTCCTCCGCTACGAGGAATACGAAGAGCGAAAAGACGGAAGGGCGTCGCGCGGGCGACGTCGTCTCGCGCGGCCTTAACTCTTCATTGCCTGAACCTTAACGCCGCGGCGTTAGACTTGCAACCATAATAGACTTTGTTCCCAACTCGTTTCGTCGACCGCGGCGCGCATTTTGCGGAACGCCATCCCGTCGCAAGTACAAACTTGATCCGTCGTATCTGCATTCGAGGGGAAAAACTTGATATTACCAGCACGCCGCTACGCAGTATTTAATTTCATTGCCTTGCGACTGTATATTGCGGATAATAAGCTGACCGTCCTCTCCACCTTCCCTCGCTTTTGTATCGCGTAGGTTTTAAAATGTCCGCTAGTGAAAGAAATTTTTGTATACATATTACGTGAGCAAATTTTAAAATTGGAAATTTTTTTCATATTGTATATTTTAGAAGCATGTATGTTTTGTTAAACAACTAGATGTTTTCGGTATACGATTTATTTTTTTTATTTATAAATATTAGGTTATATTTTGCAGAATTAAACTTTGCACTTTTCAACATGTTATATAACATGGAAAATTTGAATTGTACGATGCTCTCTTTATTATTCAATAAATATAACAAAATTATTATGTAAATATATGTAATAAATAATATTTAAAAAATTTATGATGATATTAAAACAATAAATCTCTATCAAATGTGTTTTAGTTTCGCCAATGATCTTTGTGCCGAATCAGCTGGTCGGTGCGCCCACCGGCACCAACGTAACGATCGACTGTCATACGGAATCTTATCCCCGTGCCATGAGCTACTGGTTTCTAGGAGAGGAGATGATTCTCTCCAATGAGAAATACGCCACGAATATTATGGAGAACAGCTACCGGGCGCACATGAGACTCACCATCAGAAACCTGACAACGAGTGACTTCGGTAGCTACCGGTGCATTAGCAAAAACTCGCTTGGCGAGACCGAGGGATCCATCAGATTATACCGTAAGCTGACATGCATTTTTGAACCTGCTCGCGCGTCCGGACAAACAATTTTTTTCTCCCCGATTATTATCGTTGCGCGTCTACCGCGTGATATATTTGCTATATACTGGGATATATAATATGTATAGCTCGATGCGAATAATTTAAAAGCGAAACGGTCTTCCATAAATCGCGAGTTCTTGAGCCCTGTGTTTAATTTCGCCCCGAGTCGAAGATTTATTTAAAGCCGACTGGATGTGTTAGCAGTAAATCGACGCGGTTAAATCGCCGAGGAAATGTCCGCCATCCCTCCGTTATGTCTCGCCATTCTCGTAATTCCCGTAGCTTCGAGATAAGATGACCGTCCCAGTTAAAATATGAATAAGGTGGGGAGAGTTTTCGCAAGCCAAATTTATTGGCCGATATTTAAGAAGTTATACGACGTTATTAAAGACGAATGATTTTTATTTCAGCTATCCCGAAACCGTCGGTGGCACCGAAGGCGACGGAGATCAAGAGCAGCGCCAACAAAGAAGGTGAGAACCTTATTGAATATATGTATTCCGACTTTGCGGAGAAATCGATATCATTCTCGTTCTTTTAACAATCGTCGCTCGCGCGCGGAGACGCATACACACAAACTCATTATCCACGTTTAATACTCAAATCGTAGAATCTTAAAAGGTTTTTCCACCTCTTTCGGCGTACTCTATTTCGGTGCCGCAAGTGCGGCTCTTTCACTCGAAGAAAAAAAATAATATTGCCTTAAATATCGGAATGGAAAG